AACTCCCACTCACGCATAATTCAAGTGTTAATAAATAGTTGGGTAGCTGAGGTTTTAATGAGCAGTCAGCGGGGAGGTTAGGAAAGCAGCAATACCCGGGAATGTGAGCGCTCAGGAAGAAATCTTGGGAAGAGCTGCCATAAATAAGAGTGCATAAATAAGAATTAAACATTAATCAAGAACACTTAGAAGAGCGTAGTCAGGCCAAAGTTACAGCTTGCAGGGTTTTCTTTAAACTAAGAAGCATTTCAAATTGAATCACAAGTAATTTCAAGTCTTTTGTTATTTAAGATTTAAAAACCCTCACGTGCCTGAGCTCCAGGAATCAGCTCTTCAGTTCATCCTCGTGCACGGTCCTGGGAAGAATGACTTGGAAAGGGAACCTGTACGCTATAGATATTTTTCAGCCCTTTACACCTTCAACCAGGCTCTCCGCTGTAAATCTAGCTCTCAGATTGAATAGGGAACAACAGAAAAGGGAATCCAGGGATGGGGGATAGCTGCTCTGGGGAAGCCAGAAGGTCGCTGTCCATGCCCCTGCAGGTAGGGAGGGAAGCAGCTGCTGCTTGGGATTCCCTCTGCTTTCCACCATCCCGCTCTGCACCTCACCCTGCTCCCACCTCTAAACCCTGCCTACGCCTTCGCCCCGCCACGGCCTCTGCTCGTCGGGCTCAGCCCCACTCCTCTGGCCAAGCTGCCCCTCCGTGGGGACCGGCAGGCGCCCCCCCCCCCCCCCGGGGGGCCCGGCAGCCGCTCCGCCAGCACCGGGAGGGCTGAAATAATCTGGGGTGCAAATGTTTACTCAGTGCTTTCCCAAAGCACTGAGAGGAAGGGGCTGTGAGCAGCGCCGTAAGAAAGCACGAGTGTTCATGTGTGACCTGCAGGTGGGTCCAGGCGAGGCACCACGAGGAGCCCATTGCCCTCCCATGAGGTGGCCATTCGCCCTCCCACGAGGTGGCCAAAGGGGCCAGCTCACATCAGGAGGAGGCAAAGCAGCAGCCCAGGCCGGTTGGGGGCTCAGGACAGAACCGATGCCCCACACCATCCCCGCTGCCCCCACCCATGCAGCACTCCCCAGGGCTGGGTGCCCCCCAGGGGCTGCACAAAGTTGATCCCTTCACACTTTTTTTCCCATTCCCAATAGCACTGTATACCTTAGGCCCTGCCTGTGTGGTTTTGATATCAGATGTTCCCCCCTCCCCCCCCGACTCCCTTTTATACCCCTCCAGGCTGGTTCTCCATCACAGTTCCCACCCTCCAGCCCTCCCAGCTCCCCGGGGAAGGTCCCTCCTCTGCCCCAGGCTGCCCCAGCCACCTTACAGGCACAGCCCAGCCGCCCAGGGCTCTGTTATAAGGGATTATTGCTGCCAGGACAATGATACAGAAAATATGAGTCCTAACAGGATGCTCAGGTTTGCCCGTGCCACCTCCGGTTTGATCAGTGCACCCCGCTGCTCCCCGGGGGCCGGCGCCAGATTCACACAAAGTGGTTCTGCTGTTCTAAGAAATTATAAAATCAAACCAGTTCCTGCGAGCTCTTGTCTGATCTAAGTAAAGGCAAGTGGCCAGCTATATATAGATCTGATGGACTGACATGGCTTCCTGCCTGGCTTTCCGGCATGTCACAGGGCACAGACCCGACTACTTTTTACCTGGGTGTTGCTGTTTTCCGCGCGTCTTCACATCACAACGCCAACTTGCGAACACGGCCGTTACCGCAGGAGCCCTGGTTTTACAGGCCCTTCTCCCCCAGCGCTGTTTCTAACCCGGGGTCAGCCCCCGAATCCAACGGGAGCACCCAGCATCTGGGTCGCTGCAGCCCAAGGGACAAAGATTAAGCAGGTGCTGGAAAAATCAGGTTCTGTTACTCAAAATGGATGGTGGTGCCCCTTGCGCGGCTTCTTCCAGGCTTTAGTTTGTTATGGTCATAAAAGCAATCCATGGAATTGGGTCTCATTTTTGTCCGCATTTTACAGCACGGGAAAATTCTATGGTTCTATGAATTCTAGAATTCTATGAAAATAAAGTTGTACGAGGTTTGTGCAGGTCTGCTGGGGTCATATCAGGGTTGCTCAGGTCCACCCAGAGGTAGTACCAAGGAACAGAGCTGTAGTTCGGAAGAGGAGCTTAGCTGTGCCCAAAAGATCCCGGGCTGGTGTATGGGCTCTAGAAAGAGCCAGGACATTGGACAAACTTTTTAAAAGCAAGAGCTTTAGGAGGGGCTATAAATCATCCTGTTCAGATCTGCTCTCAGGCTTCAGGAGGTGACTTTCCCTCATGGCTGGGGACTTAGGAGTCTTTTTCTAACAGGACTAATTTTCTGATAGGGTTCATCTGTGGCAGCAAGGCGTGTGTGAAATGGGTGGCCCAGTCTCAGGTGCCCGTGAGGCTTTCTTGACTCACAGCCCTGTGCTTGGAGAGAAAAACCAGTCTGTTTAGAACCACCTGTGTAGGCAGCTGGAAACTTTGTGGGAGCTCGGGGGTGATCAATGGCTTCTGCCATCTCATTTTCACCTGTCTGAACGATTCGCAAACATGTTCCGTTTGCTGTGATGTTCTGGTCCTGGACTTTCCACACAATCGAATCAAGCATGTTTGGGTGCAGCATCCCTCTCCCTAATCGCTGTTTATCCCAAGTAGCAAGTGGAAATCAGTAGCACATGGAGGCCATCGACGGGCCCCTGCCCACTCAGCGTTTCCTCTTCCTTGACTCGTGGACGTGACTCATGAGCCTGACTTTGCAGTTGAAACCAAGCGCCGCAGTCCTCACTCCCCACATCCTTCACCCCACCTTCCTGGGACCTGCGCTCCCCTGGGACCAGGCTGAGGGTTGGGAAGACCTGGAATTCATCTCATCTCAGGAGCCGAACCTGGGGCATGCGCCCGCCCGGTGTCTGGGCTGCTTTGGTGCTTGGAAGCATCAAGGGATTGGGACGTTTGCTTCCAAGCACCGACTCCAGTTACGGTTTGAGCTACAGGCTCCCAGTCTGGCAGGTCTGCCAAGACCCCACTTTGCTTCATTTGATGAATCCGATGAAAGGGGCTTCACAACTCAGGCTTATTTGTGCTGTGCTTGATACGGTTTACGCCAGTCCTGTACCCGAGCTGCAAACGCCACTGGCGGCTTCCTGTTGTGGTTTCCTGCCTCGGCTAAAACTCCTCCTCGGCAGAGCCTGCTCTCCCTTCCTGTTCTCATCAGGGCCATTTCTGGGCTTAATGAAGGCAACAAACAAATAGGTAGAGAAAAATCTGGTTGCCATAAATCCAGCTCCCCGTGGGTCCTTGCTGTTGGAGGCTGAGCAGAGCAGGGTGCGCGCAGCAGAATGGTTTCTCCTGAGCAGTTTCCTCCTCACCCCTCTCCCGTTCCTGCCCCTACACGGCATGTATCCAGCCAAGCCCTTCCCAGCTCCAGCAGTCCCAGACTCTGCCCTGTTGCTGTGCCACGGACTGGGCTGCATTGGACTGGGTGGGACGGAGCGGGGCTGACCACCAGCCCCAGCACAGCTCCAGCCACTGCCCAAGAGCAGAGACCGCTCCTGGAAGAGCGCCGTGGGCCCAACCCACCGGGCGGCGACTTTTCCCATCATGTTGAGAAATGAAATTTAAACTGGGAAGAATTGGGGCAAAAACCCAGCGCGCTGGCCAAAGCCCCGGTGTTTTCTTTACTCTGAGCGCGAGTGACGCATTTGCGGAAAATGCGGATGGGGACAAGCGCTGATCTTTTTGGGGTCAGCATCTGCGCAATGACAAAAATCAAAGACCAAGCTCTGGGAAAGAAATGAGACCCTTCAAATACGATAATGTTTCCATTAATCACCGGAAATTGGCTTCTGTTTGTGGGTGGGATTTGAAACGATTCGATACAAGACCTAAGCCTCGTTGGCAGAAGGGGCTCTGCCACGACTCGGCCAACAAGGTTCCGTTTCTTACTGGATTCCCACCACGAGCTGGTGCTACAGCAGCACGGTGGTAGGTTCATTTCTGGGTTTTGGGTCTGTTCTGAACAGGGGGCTTGCACCTTGCAGCTCGACATAGCGGGATTAAATTCACTTTGCGGCGATGGCTGGCCACATCTGAGCTCCAGCCTTCTCTGGAGCACGTGCACAATGTAGAGAGAGGAACTGGCAAATGGGGTCAGACTGTGGGCAAATTCAGAAACCAGCCAGAGTCAGGTATCCTGGGAAAAAATCCATACATTTTTCAAGAGACAGTTAGAGGAAGGTTTCTTCTTGCTTTGTCAACCGACGGCTGATGTCTGCCCAGAAGCACTTTGGTTTTTCTTTACCTCCTTTTACTGTGCCTGGTGCAATTGTGTATCTAACGCTTTTTTTTTTGACATTTAATATCCATCTCATGTTTTCTTGTTATTTCATTTAAGATCTTGGCCTTACAGGGCCTCATGGCAAAATTAATTTATTCAGAGAGGCAAAAGAATTTCCTTTTATTGTGAACAGGGCTGGAGAGAAAATGATAGGAAGTCAAAGCTAAAGACTTCAGGATGGATGCAAGCAGCACATTTTTAATAGTGAAGGTAATTAATCATAGAATCATCGAATGTTTTGGGTGGAAAGGGACCCCCAGAGGTCACCCAGCCCAACCCCCTGCAGGAGCAGGGACACCTTGAACCACAGCAGGTTGCTCACAGCCCCGGCCAACCTGGCCTGGAATGGTCCCAGGGATGGGGCCTCCACCCCCTCTCTGGGCAACCCCTGCCAGGGTTTCACTTAACCGTTGGGACAATTTGCTGTAGGATTCGGCGCATTCTCTATGGCTTGAAATCTTTAAGATCAGATGGATTTTTACTTGTGCTTTCTAGCTGCGTTCAGGGCGGGACAGAGGAGTCACCGTGGGATTCTCTGGCTGGGGGTATGAACGCACCCGTTGCTGCTCTCCATGTGGTGTTTGAAATGCGACAGGGGGGCTGCAGAATGAGCCTAAGCTCCAGTGAAACCTTTTAGAAAAATTATGTGTTGGTGAAGAACTTTGCTTCTTTCTTCCAGATCGAGCACCAGCAGCGCGTGAGCTGACCCGAGCCGTCCCGGTAAGCGCGCCGAGATGCCCGATGCTGCTGCTCACTTGCCCTTCTACTACGGCAGCATTGCCAGGTCGGAAGCGGAGGAGTACCTGAAGCTGGCGGGGATGTCGGACGGCCTGTTCCTGCTGCGGCAGTGCCTGCGCAGCCTGGGGGGGTACGTCCTCTCCATGGTCTGCAACCTGCAGTTTTACCATTACGCCATCGAGCGCCAGATGAACGGTACCTACGCCATTGCAGGGGGCAAAGCACACTGTGGGCCAGAGGAGCTCTGTGAGTTTTACTCCAAGGATGCCGACGGGCTCTGCTGCACCCTCCGTAAACCCTGCAACCGCCCCAGTGGCGTGGAGCCCCAGCCCGGTGTCTTCGACAGCATGAGGGACAATATGGTGCGCGAATATGTCCGGCAGACGTGGAAATTAGAGGTACTGGCTGTTGCCGAAGGTGGTGCGGGACGGTGCAAGGAGCGCTCCCGGGGGGCTTTCTGCCACTTGCCACCCTGACCTCCCCTGTCGCTGCCACCCCCCTCTTACAGCATGATAAAGCAAGGTCCTTCTCCTCGGAGGCTGCTGGCGCTAAGAGCGGTCTTAAATCTCTCCCTTTTCCAGTTTCTTCTGCAAAAACAGGTCTAAGCATCTTCCCAAACCTTCAGACTCTTCCTCCGAGCAGCTCGCGCTGTGCCTGCTCTGCATCGTGTTGGAGCTCTCTGCCCGCTTTGCAAGCATCTCCCCCTGTGCCATTTGCTCCTCTGCGGCACATGGGACGCTCGCTGCAGCGAGACCGTCGCTGCCCATGTGAGGTGCCTGTGCCTCCGTAACGTTGTGCTGAAGGTGTAACGAAACCAGGCTTAGATTCTTGCTCAGGTTTTCCTCGCTCTTTGAAGACAGTGGAGGTTTTGCCTATGAGACTGAGGTACAGGATCAGGTCTGTCTGTTATTTAAATTTAAAAATAGCTACAGGCAGGTTCCTGCAATTTATTGCAGACTGGAATATATAATACAAGGCAAAACTCTGTGAATGGTCACACTGGCAGCCACGCAATTAATTTCTTTCTACCTGCTGTCACCTCGAGAGTGGCTACTCAGACGCTTCCAAGTCCTCACAGAAGGATGGCTCAGGCATTCTCTTTCTGGAGCCTTTCTAGGAAAGATCTCTAAATTTGGCCTATTTTAGACCAAAGGTGCTTGACAGAATGAGGTTATCGATAGGGTTTCTCCTCGAAGCTGGTAGATAACACAAAGGACATTGCCACCTACTGGCCAACGAAAAACTACAGTTGTTTATAAACTGTATGGGGGCCAGTAAAATTAATTTAGGGTCTCCCACATGATTTCCAGCCTGCACTGCTCTTGACAGGTTGTTGTGTCTGGGGACCCTGAGCAGCCAGGATGGCAGAGGCACCAGCAAGAGGTCCTGCTCTCCCAGGAATGCGAGGCTGAAAGCCACCCTGCAAGACTGCTGTCAAGGTCCCCCCTACGAACACGATGCCTGTTCTCCTCCCTCAGCAGCAAGCTAATGGACTTCAGCTGGATGCGAGGGATGGGACCGGTTTAGATTACAGAATCACAGAATCACAGAATGGCAGGGGTTGGAAGGGACCTTGGGAGATCATGTAGTCCAACCCCCCTGCTAAAGCAGGTTCTCCTAGAGCATGTTACACAGGACTTCGTCCAGGCGGGCTTTGAATATCTCCAGAGAAGGAGACTCCACAGCCTCCCTGGGCAGCCTGTTCCAGTGCTCTGTCACCCTCAAAGTAAAGAAGTTTTTCCTCATATTCAACTGGAACCTCTTCTGCTTCAGTTTGTACCCATTGCCCCTTGTCCTGTCGCTGGGCACCACTGCAAAGAGTCTGGCTCCGTCCTCGTGACCCCCACCCTTAAGATATTTGTAGGTGGTGATGAGATCCCCTCTCAGCCTTCTCTTCTTCAGGCTGAAAGCAGGGATAAGCAGGGAATTCTGCTCTGGAGCAGAACAGAATCCAACCCGCTATTGCTATAGGCGTGATTAAGGCCACAGGCACTTCAGCTGCGGGACCTTCCAAGTTTCTTGTGCCATCTGCCCCGAAGGGTGCGGAATAAACGGCGCTGAAGCCATGGAGTGGCAGTGGGGCTGACTCCTCGCTCTCTCCCAGGGGGATGCACTCGAACAGGCCATCATAAGCCAGGCTCCACAGGTGGAGAAGCTCATCGCCACCACGGCCCACGAGAGGATGCCCTGGTACCACGGCAGCATTGCCCGGGATGAAGCTGAACGGAGGCTCTACTCTGGGGCACAACCTGATGGGAAATTCCTGTGAGTATGCAAAGCCCCGGCAGGCGCTGTGATCCCCATGCCTTTGACCGTTCCCCCACCTCTGCTGCCCTGCAGTTATTTTTTTTCATGTGTCAGTTCCTGCGGGCAGGTTTAGCTGAATATGGTCAGGCTGTGGTTACAGATCTTTCAAAGACAGGATCTGACACCCTAACCCTATTATTGTCCAGAAAGTGTCAGGCCTCCGTAAAGAGCCAGTCTTGAGCTTTATTTGTCTCTCATGTTTAGATATCTCTATGAAGTGTGCTTGTTAATGGTGTGGTGTGGTGTGGTATGGCATGGTATGGCATGGTATGGTATGGCATGGCATGGTATGGCATGGCATGGTATGGTATGGCATGGCATGGTATGGCGTGGTATGGTATGGTATGGCATGGTATGGCATGGCATGGTATGGCGTGGCATGGTATGGTATGGCATGGCATGGCATGGCATGGTATGGC